AGTGGGCCAACTTCTGAGAGAGACAGGCTTTCAAGCTTACACAGAACTCTTCTTCAGGTCAGTTTTGGCATTTGTATCTAAATTGTTCCCTCTATTTAATTTTGTGTTTCTATCTAAAAAATGCAATCAAATTTGTCTGACAAGATATTCTTTTAATATTCTTGCAGCATATTTCTCATGGCTCTCTCAGCCTCCTGAACGCTAGATGGTAAGTAATTTCTTTAATAATATTTGTTCTGTTGTTTTAAAAGGGGACATGGACGAAAGCTGGGCCATTATTTAATATAATCCAAAATTTCATACTTATTTTCCCTGCTAGCAATGAGTTAAGCACTGACAAACTGTGAGATTGAGTACTTCCTAAAATACTGGAAAAATAACATCAAACTGTATTATAATAGCATCCAGGAAGTCAAGTATTTTGCTCGAGTTAAGCATCTCTAGAGTTATAAACAAAGGTGATAATACTGGGGATTTACCCATTTGAGAGAAGAGAAGAGTCAAGCTCCATTCCTAATCAGAAAAAGGACATTTTAACAGAATCACATTTAAAAGGGATTGCATTGTTACTGCAATTTGGCTTTTGAAAAGTTTACCAACCAATGTAAGATACCAACAAAACAAAACAAATAAAAAACTCTCGAACTTGTGATATTTCTGGGGACAGATAATACACTCTTTGAAAAAGAAACCTTGATATATTTTCTTTCTCAAACCCAAAAAGATTTCATTAAGTGTGGCCATCATCAAGCCGTTGGCTGGATTGTGATGATTCAGTCTCTTTGTTTCCCTCACACAGGATGAAGTCTTTATGCAGTATTGTCTGAATGTTTGCTCAGTTAATCTCCTAGCAATGTGTGATGAACAATCTGCCTATTGACTGTCTCAGCAATTGCTAGGCCCTCCACCCTCACCCCATGTTGAGACTCATCTAGTCTCTGCTGGCTGCTCATTTTCCTTTAAAAGAAGTGCTCTGTCTCTCTTCCCATCCCCCAATTTACAATCCCCACCTCCCTCTGCTATCCCATACCCTTCTCTTCTCCTCTGTCCCTCCCTCTGGAATCTGGAAAATGCTGCCTACATCATAGTCTGTCCTTGGATAATTACTTAGTTCCAGTCACCTTGAGCTCTCATAGCACAGAATGATCTCTCTACTGAGTTTCGTATCTTCATTTTCATACCAAGGAAAACAAACTTAGTATGAACAGGCAAGTTTTGGCAACAGCCGTCATCACATTATCCACAGAGTGCTAGTAATGGATAGTTGGCGGGGGGGGGGAATAGTGTAGGAAGCTATACATCACGACTAAAACCCAAGAACTGACCTCAGAGCAGGGCTGTTCACTCACACCAACTCAGAAGAAAAATAGAGAAAGGACCAGATAAAAATCCAAGATGCTACATACTGAAGTTTTGAACTAGCTTAAAATCAAAACCTAGGACCCAATTCTGCAATCAATTCCACTTGGGTACGGGGCTTTGCCTGTGCATAGCCAATTGCAGGATAGGGACCCCTACCATAGGAAAAACCAAAAGTACAATTCAAAATTTCCTTAAGCCTTGGTGTTTTAAATCCAGACCCCAGGAAAGTTTTCAAAAGTACCAGCATGACTTAGGAGCCAAATTCCCATTCTCAAAAGTGACTTAGGCACTAGGACATCTTATTTTGGAACCAAAAAGCACAGTCCAACAAACCAAACCAAACAATTGACAGCAAAATATTCAACACTTTAAAGGATACCAATGATTTTTTTAAAACATGGGTTTGAAAAAATAATTAGCTTTTCCCTGAAGCAGCCTCAGAGCCAGTGGTTCAAACACATATTTCCCTGTGCATATGAACTACAGGTGTAATATCACACTTACTACAAAGTTTCCCTGGTGAACTTGCAAATTTCCTTAGACCAAACTTCATCTCCATGAGCTCAGTTTGAACACATTTTGCATGTATTTCCTTAATTCTTAATGAAATTTGGGTTCAAAATTCATGTTTCATACTCAAAATGTCTCCCATTGGGTTTTAAGACAAGCTTATTTCTCCCATAGAAACATGCTAGTAAAATAAATTCTTATCTTGACAACCTTTGGTTTATCCATTGCACTATTCCACATAGACATAATTAATCACTGAATGCATGTGTGTAAGGGGGTATGAAGCAGAGCTTTGTTTCCTTTTCCAGGGATCTATGATATTGTTTTTCAAAATTTTATTCTTTGTCAATGGCTTATGTTTTGAAGTTCTGTAGAACCTTGAACTACAGATATCATGAATCATATTTTCAAAAGAATTCCTGATGCACAAATAATGCCTTTAAAAGGAATACATTCCAGCACTGCTTGATCCTGCCTCACAAAGGTTCAGAAAAGGAAGAAAGAAACTTGTTTTAAAATAAAGGAAAATGCTGGCATTAAAGAAACTGTGCTAATAGAAGGGGTGCGTATAGTATAGCAAGGTTGTATGTCTCCAGCATCTTGTTTACACCTCAGGATCTCAAGTCACACATTCTTAAGAGAAGGATTAATCAAAAGCAAGGAGTTAACTACATGCCTTTAATTAACTTGATCTCAGAAGTTTCCTCCAGTCCAGAAAAACAGGAAAGTTGCATATTTTTATGCAGTTCTCTTCTCAAAGTACAGGCAGTAACTCATCCAATTCTGCAAGGTCTTTCCTATTCCTTGTCTCTCCCTCTCCAGTCTAAGGGCACGTCTATACTTACCCGCTGGTTCGGCGGCAAGCCATCGATCCCGGAAGTGCTCACCGTCGACGCCGGTAATCCTGCTCCGCGAGAGGAGTAGGCGGAGTCGACGGGGGAGCCTGCCTGCCGCGTGTGGACCCACGGTAAGTACCTTTAAGTTCAAACTAAGATACTGAAGTTGCGTATCTTAGTTCGAACTGGGGGCTTAGTGTGGACCAGCCCTAACTTTCACCCTGCTGCCTCCTCAAACACGCACAACACCAAGTCACCGCCAATGTCAATTACCCTACCATTACCCTTGTGCTTACCCTTGCTAGCACAATTCTTCCCTGCCCTCAGAGCCTCCCCAAGACCCCTCACTTCCCTCCAACCCGACCCTCTACCCCTTCTCAGAAACACACACACACACCCCTATGCCCCATGCTGACAACCACATCGCTGCCAATACAGTAGAGCTGATCATGTTTCACCAAAATGTGCTGTTCTGTCAAAGCATATTTGTTTCCACAAAGCTTTCTTTGGGAGGGTTTTTTGGGAGGGAAAAGCGACCAAGTGGGTGGTTCATATACTGGCCTGTGATGTAGGGGACCAAGGTTCAAGAGTTGCTCTGCCTGAGACAGAGCAGGTTTTTCATCCCAGATCACTCTGAATGAAGAAGAGCATGGACTTGAACCTGGGTTTGCCATACCCCAACTGCCAGGATACACATCAGCCTCAGAACCCCGCCCATTCCTACCTGCCACCCACCACCACCACCAGGCTCAGAAGCCCCCTCTTCTTTTCCCCAGACAAGAACCTCTCCCCACGCAGGTGCTTACTGGAACTAAAGAGAGGAGGAAGAGGCAGGGGATGACTGTGATGGCTACGGAGAGCCTTATGCGGTCTGTTTGTGGGGCTGAACAGAATCTGCCCCTACTCTGTTCCCTACTCCTTTCTTCCTCCCTCCACTGCCTACAGTCTATGGCCTTTACTGGATTTCTTTACTAAGTTAACTGTCAGTTTACTCGAGGTACTTACCACGTTTGATCCAGGTGACTAATATTTGTTCTTTACTATAGGCATCAGCCCCACTAAAAGCCCATTAAAGACAGCAGGTGGTCCTGAATCCTGCAATGCATCACCCACACTACACAGAGCCTACAGTGCAGCTGACAGGTGGGGCATTTTTGGTGGGGCTTAGCCCCATTAACCCCTTAAGAACAGTAGCTGCCCCGGAACACTCATGGCACAGAGGAATGAAGAAGTCTAAGTTCACATGGCCAGATCCTGGACTGCATTAGGGTCTCTCTTTACTTCTCTACCAGTGCAAATGTGCCCCAAAGACAACTTACCTAGCTATCGGAAGTCTAAGGGGATCAGCAGACGGCAGAGAGCCACTGTAGCAGTTCCTGCACTTACTTCCCTGATAGGTCATGAAGATAAAGAGGTAATCTCTGGGGAAAATGAGAAAGTGACTGGGATACCCATGCATCCTTCTGATTTCCCAGCTGCCATAATGGCCTCTTGGGTCCATAGGCAGCCATCTTCAGTTAAAGCAGCCCCAAAGAGAGGTCAAAAGTGGCTCAGAATTGCTTCTGCATCTTCCTCTGATCCTCAGCAGCAGCAAACACCCTTAAGCTGTGTCTGAGGAGCTGGCATTTTAACTTCTATTGCTTTCCCCTCAAGGAGCCTGACCAGCTCCCTTCCCCTGACCCACTGTCTCTTCCAGCATCCGTGGAGCCAGAATCCTATGGATTCTCTGCAGTGAGCCTTCCCCATGGTTGAGGGGAGAGGGGGCTTGCATTCCCTCCACCCCCTTCATGACCTCAGTCCCAGATGCAGCAGGAGAACATGGGCCTTGCTTTAATAGTAACACCATGGAGGTGCAGCCTATTTGGTCACATTTATCACTGTACTAATCTAAGGTTTGCTGTCCATAATTAATCAACCTTAGGCAAAATAAATAATCCAGCATTTTTCAATTTCAAAGTGCTTTTCAAACACTAGCTAATTAAAGATCAGGAAATTTCTAAGTTACTTTATAGACACTACTGAAAAATGAAATAAGGACATTTTTGACCATGTGTGTGGGGTTTTTTTAGTTTTCTATTTGTTTTTCTTGTTGTTTTGGTTTGGGTTTTTTACTTTTACTCTACCGGCTACCTGCTAACATAGTAATAATATGGAGATTTCCATGAAGACCAAATATAGCAAAAGAAACAAACACAGTTGATTCTGATCCTGCAAATATGAAACCTTGTAATACTGCTTAATTTTTTTAAAATCCATTTCACACATTTCTTTTAGCTCCTAGTGGCCACATACTTGTTAAAACTTTGCAGACTGAGGACAAGGAAGGGAGAGGAAGAGTTGGTTCCTTTTATGTGGATTGACACCTGTCAATGGCTCAGTGCTTAAATAGCAAGTTCTCATTCTTGTCTGTGTCTCTCTCTGTAATGAAAATAAAGAGAACACAATAAAAATACATTAATAATCCTGAAGCACACCAGATCTTCCATGTAGAAATCATAGTATTTTCTCTCATGAGCTGTAAGCTCTACATAAAAATTAATTGTATCATACAACATTGTGTTAAAGTAACATGAAGAGTTTAACAGACCCACAGAAATTCTGAATTAAAACAAACTCTGTTAACACACTACCCTTGACTCATCTTCTTACATCTTAATCTCTAACCACACATAGGCTCTTTAAAAATAACATTAAAGAACTGAGTGTGACTTAAGAGTGTGCAGCACTCTGCCCACACTATGCAAACATTAAAGTCTGAAACGTTAACTGAATTAAAAAAAAAAAGACTCCCATTGATTTCATTCAGCTTTGGATCACAGGTCCTTAGTCTCTGTGTCTCAGCTCACTAGGTGTAAAATGGGAACAGCCTATCACACAGGAATGTTGTGTGAATAAATTCATTACTATTTGTGAAACACTCAGCTACTGCAGTGATGGGCAGGAGAGGTATATTTAGTGATGTAGATTTATTAGCCTTATTCTGATATATAAACCATTCAGGGCAGAAACAATGCTCACTGATTCTCACTCTGCTTGCACTAGTTAGGAGTAATTCCACTGAAGATGGACCACTTTTACACATGAAAGTGAATCAGGCGCCAGCCATCTCTTTCCATGCATCTTTTTAGGCAGTGTAAAAATAATAAATAGGATTTGTTTGAACCCTGCTGAGAGCACTTACAATTGCGTCAAAGGACCCAAGTACAACTTTGTTTCCACTTTGTAGTTTAGACAGGGACTTTAACTATGTTCCAGATGCATTCAAAGGCCTTGGCCTTGTTCATTTGTTTAGCACAGTAACCCTGCCTTGAACAGAGCAGCATTGTAGATGTGTTTACCCAGTTTGGAAAATAATGCCATTAACTAATTTCTGAAACGGTTTTAAAAGCCAGGCTAGCATTAGGGGGAGCAAAAGGCACCACAGCACATATTTTAGCCTTGGCATGATCTGAGGCTCAGCAATACAAAACAAAGCTCTTAGAGTGCTAGTGTTAATGGAGGTTTTCCACTTTGTAGTTTGTTTTATTTAAAAGTGGGGGGGTGAAAAAATACAATGAATTTTAACTATTCGACATGCAATGCCTAAAGTTCTCTGTGTACTTTTAACAAAACAGAATTCACATGAATATGTATGTGGACAGACTGAGAACTCACTTGAAGCGGTCACTATCTATTATATAAAAGTGTGTGGCTAGACCACAGGCAAGACTCCTCCTCTCATGTGCAGATGTCAGAGCTCAATGTCCAGGTTCTGTAGCCAAAGGTTAGCTTCTGTGTTTAGGGAGGCGAGGTTTTGTAAACCACCCTCCAGATGTTGAATTGGGCACTCTTCCACTCCATGAGTCATTGTCTGCAATGCTACCCCCCTTCCCCCGCACACACCCCATCACAGCATGGAGAGGAAGCCAAACCAGTCTGCCATATAGTTGCAGCAACTCTGGATGAGCCAGAGAATAACCCCTGTTGAACCTGATCCAGGATCTATGTTCAAGAGGACAAGGAGGCAGGTGCAGTGATGGAGTCCTGAATTTACATAGCATGTTAGACTCTCTTTCCCACCAGTGTTTCCATGCTATAAGAATGTTGTCGTCGGCTACTTGGTGCTGCCGATCATCCATGAGTGGTAAAGGGCCAGTAGTGTTCTTGTCCAGGAGTGCATGAGCTGCTGTAGCAAAGTGGTGTTGAAAGATCAGACATGCTGTTACAGCCAGTCCACAGGAGTGGGATTCTTCCCCTGAATATGAGCGGACCTTCGAGTTGGGGTGGCAGACCTTCGAGTTGTTCCCTGTCTGAAAATGGGTCAGTCAGTCAGCTGGAGATGTAATAGATTGGTATCATTTGTCATAGCTCTCCAGGCAGACTTAACAGTAATGACATCGCATCAAAGGTCTGGCAGAGCTATGTGTGCTAGCACATATAACCTGGAGGCTGGTGTATAATTCGTGCAGCCACTAATAATGCAAGTGACTGAATTCAGCTCCATGTCAACAAGCTGAATGCAGAGGCTGCACCCCCAGAGCTCAGAACAGCATTCAGCTGGAGCAAACACCAGGCCCAATACAGATGTACAAAAGACCGATGGGTTTGCTCCCCAGGAGGTTCCCAACAGTTTTTGTAACAAGGCAGTACAGGAAGAGAGATTTATTTTCAGGCGAGGCCAGTATGTCAGGCTACAGTCCCAATTATGTGACCCCTGATTGAAATGGCAGTAACCATCCGGTACATGGATCAATATGAGTTGATTGGGGAATGGGGGGCAGATTATCCCACGTCTGCCTACTGTGGGTTCTTGCCCCTTACTCTGAACCATCTGGTATTAGCCACTATCAGAAACAGGATATGGGATTAGATGGACCTCCAGTTTCATCAGCCTGGCAATTCTTATTCATATGCTGGGTGGGTGGTGGTTCTAAGTCTGGAGGAACCAGACTAAGTTTAATAAATTAGATGATACCTGAGTTCTAAAATCAGGTCACCCTGACTATATTATCCTCCCACCACACACTCTCACTTGAATCCCAGCATGATTTTAGCAGCCAATATTCTCGCAAACCAGACAACCAAAGAATAACATTTTATACCAGTTGAGGGCTGAAATTACAAAGTTTCAGATGATGTGCTCTGCAACATTGTCTCTAGTTCTAATAGCTCCAGTGATAATAGTCACTAAAATCAGCTCAGAATAGAAGGCAGTAGGAACATGCAAAGGCAAATGGTTGTAAAAATGGTGTGATTAAAAATTTGATCTGTCACAAACCAAACCACCAGGAATAAAAAATATTACCATGTATTACGGGAAAGCTAGAATTTCCAAGCTTTCCCATGGAGTGTAATGTTAGTTTGTATCCCTGATGATTCACAAGACATCATACCATAAATGGTCACCCGTTGCTCAGAAAACCAAAAATACAGTGCAACTTACCAGATAGTCCAGGGTGCTTTCAACATCCCAAGCATCTGGACCCATCAAGCACTTCCATAACAGCTCTTCAGTTAGATGTCCATTACTCCACATCATATTTTGTCACTATGCACTTTGAGACATACTGATTTAAAAACGTAGCAAAAATATATTATGCAAAAAATACCAGAAGGAGCCTATCCATATTTTTAATTAATGGTTTAAAACATTCCAGAATAGTTACAATATAAATCTGACACCTATGGGAATTCCATAAAAGGAGTTATATGAATGCAAACAGCATATATAAATCCGAAGGCAAAACAAAAAAAGTTACATTATCTCTTAAATACCCAAGGATATTATATATGTGTAGATAATAATTAGCTGGTTTGTTTGATTTGTTTTGTTTTTCCAAATTTCATATCAAATTGTCAAGAAATAAGAGGAAAATAACTATTAACAAATCCTTCCATTAATGTTTACTAATAATCAGCCAGCTTTGCAAATTCATTCAAACTTTGTCAATTTTCAGCTGCAAGTGGATTCCTGTAGTTTAATTATCAACCACTGAAAAAATGAAATCTATAAACTCAAAACATGCTTAACTAACAGAGACGCTGTAACATGGCATGAAAAGACTTATTGGGACTGCTGAACCAGTGCCTGAGATTACTCTAGGGTTAGGAATTCTGTGTACATTGTTTAAAAACTCCGCCTGTTAAGTCTCTTTCTTTGTCATGTTAAAAAAAATTAAAAATAGCAAGAAGTATCCCAGCTGGGGATGAAACCTAGAGACCCCATAAGCAATTTAGGTAATTATAGTGTTAGATAAATTGCAGTTAAGCCATTTGGGTTAACTGTATTACAACCAGTAGCAAGACCAACAAAAGGGTGAAAGGGGACAAAATGTGTGTTGACAACACTACTAAAAACCAGGCAGGAACAGCCTTTCAGTGTCAGAGATCTTCTGCTGGCTTCAAGATATTATAGTCCCAAAGTACTTTAAGTCATAGACAGGAATTGGCTAGCTATAGATTATATAATAAAAAAAAACCCAATCAAACAAAAAAATATTCATCTCCCATAAAGGCTGTGATTTCATACTTCAGATATCAGCAAAGGAACTGTATGAATTTGCTTCCCAGATATAGTCTGGAAATAGGTCCATGAAATTACAAAAGAAAGGCACCCTTTACATTTAGACAACGGACCTGTGTTTTCTTTAAATACAGGTGATTTTGTCTATTATATACTTTAATTTTCAACAATTGAGTTATACCATTAATATTCCTGTTTCCCAGGAGAGGTCTTATGAGACCATAAAAGATAAGGTCCAGTCTGTTGTTTGCAGACATTAAAGGTCCTTTTTATTACATATTTCTTAAAGGTAAGGCTTTCCCCATTGTCCTTAGCCAAAGCTGCCTCGCCTTCTCTGTTCTTACTATGTCTTCCATGCATCAGCTGGTGACTGCATATCTGTTATTACTGTATGTACCATGTATAACACCAAACTTTAACTCAGTATCTTGTGTGTGTGTGTGTGTGTGTGTGTGTGTGTGTGTGTGTGTGTGTGTGTGTGTGGTGTGTGTGTGTGTGTGTGTGGTGGAGAGAGATTGGTAATGCATTCCCTTTGAGGAAGTATCTAGTGGGGTACTGCAAGGATTGATGTTAAGTCTGGTCTTCTAGGACTAGATCTACAAAAGAATTTGGGTGGCAAAATCCAACATTTCGGCATCACTAAGATCCTCAAAACTCTTGTTCAGCTGCTGCCTAACCCCGTAGGCACCTAAGATTTCCACACCTCTCAGGAGAATGCCCTAACCATTGGACTATGGGATATTCTGATGTGGGTCTCCCTCAGTCTCTCCTGTTCCACTGTGTATAAACTGAATATTCATTCATCAAGGGGACTGGATCCTGGGTTCCTTGCTCTCGAGCAAGTGCCCTTGCCACTGGGCTACAGAGACATTCTGCCATTCTTTCTGCCCAATGATCCAGCTTCCAGGAGTGAAGCCAGAGACGCAGAAAGCCTGGGCCCTCAGCCTCCCCCCTTAAGCTCCAGGGCCAGACAGTCAGACAGCAAGGTTGCTCGGACTCTGGCCCTGGGGCTGTGTGCGGGGCGGTTGAGTGCCTGGGCTGTCTACGTCTCTGACACTGGAATGAGGTGGGGGGTTGGGAGGCAGAGAATCAGGGTGCTCAACCTCAGCAGCCCTCCCAGAAAGCTTTTGTCAATTTCATAGGCAGAAAGTGAAGCTGATAAGAGTCTTTCAGGCCAGCAGCCAGAGAACTGTCCTTTTGATTTTCCCAATAGAAAATTGAAATTCTCCAGCAAAACTAAAATTTTCCCATAGAAAATTATGGCTTTGTGAACAGAACAGGGTTGTTGTTGTTTTTTCTGGGGTGGTGTTTTTTTTTGGTTAGAAAATCATTCTGATAAAAAATCTTCAGCCAGCTCTGAGCGTAACCCTTCTGTACTGCCCATGCAGTAAGTGCCATATTCTGCAGTGGCTGCCAGGATCATCACGGATGTTTGGCTGCCCTCCCTGAAGTCCTGCTGCTTTGGAGGCCCCTAATGTAATATATGACAGTTTGGGGCAATGAAGCAGCTGTTTCTGCACCATCCTTTTATCTAAAGGAATGGAAGCATTGCACTGGTAAATTAATAACTGTGAATACCTATTGGAATTGGGGTAAAGGTAAAATACTGAGTTCACTTTTCATTTTCCTTGTTGGGGATGTATCCTATGAGAGAAGCATCGCTGGGAGAAATTTCATAAAGACCTAATCAAACTAAGAATTGGGGAATGTGATGGAAGATGTAAGTCAGTATAGATAAGTACAGGTTGATGGACATTGCAGTTACAATTTAAACTACTTGTACACACTGATGGCTTCTGAATTACTGTAGTTAACCTCTCAGATCTGGCATTATCATGGACAGCTCAGTGACGAGGTCTGCTGTATGTGCAGGAGTAGTCGAAAAAACAAATAAAATAAAATGTTGGGCTCAATTCAGAAGTGGACAGGGAATCATGCAGAAGATGGACAATGGGGAAGACTAGAGGAAATATAGTATTAATGTTAAAAAATAGGAGGAAAAAAGAATGATCATAGCAATTACCATCCTATAAGTAATTTATATTCCTAGTAAGAGACAAGAAGTCACTAAATGTCAGGAGAATAGAACCATGAGTAATAAGTAGCATGATTTTCTAAACAAAAAATACCTTGCCACTTCTGATTAGGGATTGGGGTTTTTGTGTTGTTTTGGGTGGGGGGGGGAGAATTGCAAAATTAGTAGATGGAGTGCAGTGGATGTAATATTTCCTTTTCAGTAGTGTCTGATACAATCTTATGAAAGCTGTACTCATGCCATGTCAATGATCTGTGGTTAAAACAACTGTAAACCAAGGAGGATGATAAATGGCCCCATATCACATCTAAGATGGAACACTGAAAGAATTAATGTTAAATCTGGCCTCACTGAATATTTTCATTAAACAAGGTGAAATACAGTCAGAGTCCTGTGTCTGTTTACCTACGAGATTGCCACTTCTGTGTGGACTATCAGCACTTGCAAACCTCAGAGGCATTAAAGCCAGAAGCCAGTTCCTAGAATAAACTATAGATAAGCTAGGGTCCATAGCTCTGGAATTCATTTTTTGCTTCGATTTGCCCAGCTCACATCTAATAACCTATAGGGCACTGTAAGAGACATCAGTTTCTCAGGCTTTTCCTGAGGAGGAAAAGATCTGCATGTTGACTGGTGGCGGGGGTGGGTGGGAAAGTTGAGTGGAGTAAAATAGAGATTGTGTCCATAATAGGAGCTAGATTATAAGAAGGAGCTATGCCATGGCTAGGAAAGTTTTCCAGGAGCTTTGCTTTTGAAGATATGTCTATTGTGTATTACTAAATGTTGTGCTTTTACCATGGTATAGTTCTCTTAGACGTTGTACTAGGGCAATAGAAGTTGTAAGTAATTAAGTTATTTACTCCCTCTTCCAGATCATTACATTCACAGATATTAAATTGGGAGGAGCTGCTAATAGTGATGGCAGAGGAAGCTGGAGAGGGATAGCTCAGTGGTTTGAGCATTAGACTGCTAAATCCAGAGTTATGAGTTCAATCCTTGAAGGGGCCAGTTAGGGATCTGGGGCAAAATCAGTACTTGGTCCTGCTAGTGAAGGCAGGGGGCTGGACTTGATGACCTTTCAAGGTTCCTTCCAGTTCTAGGAGATAGGATATTTCCATTTATTTATAGGAACTAAAACCATTCAAAACATGGGGAGAACATTTTTTTAAAAAATCTAAAAATCTAAGGTATATCTGAAACACAGATTGACAAGTGGAGAAAGACACTTTGAAAGCAGCAATACCAAAAGAGACCTAGGAGCAATATGAGATAGTGAATTAGATATCAGTTTGCAAAGTAATGTGGCACTAAAAAAAGCCAATACCATTTTTAGGTTTCATATGTTAAGGGCATTAAGCCCAAATCTAACAAAGCCAATGTGACTGCTCATATGCCTAAATCTAAATATATGTTTTCCTGGATCAGGGCCCAAGCTGTGGAATAAAGCAGTCAAACTCTTTACAGTTGTGGTGTAATCTCAATAGAAATATTGTGTTCAGTTCTATGCACCATATACTATCAGTAAGAGATTGACATTGTGACATTGGCAGGTGCCATCTCATGCCAAGGTCCCCATGTCTCAAGTGAACACTGATAACTACATAGCTGGAATCTGGCTGGCTCACTTGTAGGTTAATATTGATAAAATAGGTATTTGAATTATAAGAAATTGTTCAGTGTTCAGACTCTGTTGAATGCCTGTGAGTTGCTGCATACATTAATCTTACTTATACTATCTGTGTTCTATGCTGTAAAGTCATATATGAGCAATTGTATTGTGAGCCACGTGTTAATTAGTGTGAAGAGCTGCTCTTTACAGAATTTGTTATGCCCCTCCCAAAAGAGGAGACCTATGGATACAAGGGCTCTGGGTGGACCTTAAAACTGGAAACTTCCCACATCTGGATTGAGGAATTGTCAACAAAAGGACTATTGTTCTGCTCTTCTCTCCATGAAGATGAGTCATGCAAGTGGACTCCACCCATCAGCTGAGTTTGCACCTCAGAGCACATGGCAGGAAGGGGATAAAAAA